AAAGTTTGATGTTGAAACAAATTATAACACGAATTTTACACGATGCTGTCACACTATTTGCAATTTCTATGTTCCGGATTCGGGTCGGATTTCGGATCGGATTTCGGATCGGATTTAGCGATACACATCGGATTCGGATTCGGATTCGGATTCAAAAATTGCCATCGGATTCGGATTCGGATGGGGTTCAAAATAGCTATCGGATTCGGATTCGGATTCGGATTTTCAAAAATGCTGTCGGATCGGATTTTTGGTTCATGTCGGATCCGACGCACAGCACTAATAGGTATATCATGGAGGCTCTGTATAGAAATCTCGATCCATGGTATTGACTATATCCCCAACATGAGAACATTTCAGTGAATCTATCGCCATTGGAATAGGTCCACAAATATAGAGTAAGTCTGTAAGCAACTCCGTTTAGAGTTATTTCACAGTTCAGATTGAATATACCAGTTAAAAGACATAAATATAAAAATATCTCTGTAACACTGCCAGTTGCTAGCTTGATTACAACAGGACAGAGATATCGCACTACATTACCTACATATAATCAGAAGTAGATAATAGGGAATTATTATTCCCTATTATCTACTTCTGATATGATGGTCTTACTATATTTACTGTACTACACACTAATCACAGTGACGCACTATGAAATGATTACATAATTGTGAAAAGCTTTCAATTGCTTTCACATTAAGGCTTGGGCTTAGCCTTAGGGCTTGATAAGAATAAAACCTTGGCTTTTGGTTAGGGTGTTTTACTTAGTTTGTATTTATACACAATATATGACCTCATACATGTCATACCCCACATAAGAACATTGAATTTTCGTAAAAAGAATGTAAACCTAACACTGCTGATGATATGATGAATATTTTTGTTTCAGGAAATTAAAATGAAATCTGGGGAAATGAAAATTGTGAAATAATATGAAACCCATTTCTCTTGCATTAGAGTTTCCATAAATTTCACGATTCAGTTCAAATAGGATCGAATGCTGCATTGTACGTCTTATACGACAAATGCGTTTCTTTGAAATCATGTTCCTTTGTCAATGTTCAATGGATAAGACACAGGTTGAAGAAAGAAGCAATGTTTTTGACATTTTTAGCCTAATTACTAAGACTACACTAGCAGAAGATAATGGGTATACCAATAACGTTGGTATGTAATAGATTTCCACTACTTGGAATACGGAGCAAATGTAACAGACAAAATCGCTACACGACAGGAATTGTGTTTCGGCAGCATAGGCAATGTGACGAATTCCTGTTGGTATTTGATACTTGGATAGGATGTGTTGGCCAAGTTAGCCCTCTCTGAGCAACAGGACATCCTGCAGTAAGTTCAGAGAATACCCTGCACATGAGCAGCAAATAAAGGCGAGACCTATCCCTTCCTATGAATGGGAATCTTGCATCACGAACAGTAAGTTGAAGACGGTACCGTGCGAAATACTGCCCAGAGTTTTATTTAACTTACAGTTACGCTGAGAGGGTCTATGTCCATCAGGGTACTGCCGGAACGTACCCTGGGTACGGTCCGGTATACCGACATATTTCTCTTCTGGATTAGTATTCTTATAGAAGTACAAAATATATGACGTACACAACCATGTATAGATTCAGTGTGCGGGTAAGCACCATTTCTATTGATAAACACACTCAATAGCTGCCATCATTTTTAATATTTTCCAGACTTCAAGAAGCAAAGTGTTTAGAGAAGTTACGTTAGAGATACAAGTTACTGTGGAATTTCAAACGTGGCTGCTGCAGAACACAGAATGCTACCAGTTGGATGATAGACAAAAGGAAACGGGTATTTCATGACAAATTTTACACAGAAAAGTTGCAGAAAATAACATACTAATTCAAATTATGATTATAATTTGCTCAATCGTTATGTAATGAAACTTTGCACATAGGTTTCAAGTGTCTTCTTCTGCTGAATACATTATGCCTGTAAATTTAACGCCATTTAACTAAGGACACTTTCTTCGCTGTTATAATACACATATATATAAACAATTTTAGAAATGCAAAAATACATTAGTGTGTATTTAAATAGTAATAAAAACCATATTTGTACCACATCTCTAGATAGTAAAAATAGTATAATTTATTTCAGTTTTAAATCGTGTATTCTGTTATATATGAGACTGTATAAAAACAACATATTATACAAATTATAAACTTCAATTGATTTTAAAATTCGTTTGAACCTAACTTGATTTCTAATTTTAAAATTCAATGTTGCTGCAGCTCAATATTCATCTAAATGCACATTTTTTAACATACAGAAGAGAAGTTACAGCATCACTACATAGTTTCAAAACCCATGATAATAAAATAAAATAAGACCTCATGAATAATTGATAAAATTCATGCATTGGCAACATAATACGCACTTATGTTCATTTCTGCTTAATTTATTACTTGTCAAGAACAAATACTTGAATCCAGGAATGCATGCTATGGTACCACCTACCACACTGACAAGTACCGATCAATGTCTCGACATGGCAAAGCAAGGAAAACCTTGATATGCTTGCCCTCATATACTAGAGGCACAGTTGTGTTCACCGAAACCTGGCACTGTTATCTTGGGGAGATAGGGGGCGCTGGAATACTTGCATCAGCACCTTCATCCACGACTGTAAAATGACAATAAAAGTTCTGCTATTAACAAGGAAACACTAGAAAATAATGCAAGATTGATGAATATTTTCACTACCTACCAACGCTCATAACAAATTTATGAACTTTGACTGCAATATTAATAAAATGCACACAGATACACAGAAATAAATAGATCCACAGTCAAACTTGCATAAAATGGGTCCTCAAGCAAAATGCCAAAGGGGGAGTGGGGGTTAGGGAGTTGGGGAGGTGGAGAAATGGTACGAATGATAAGTAAATGGTGGAAAAAAGTTGGAGGCAGGAGAAATTAGATCTCTAAACCCGTTGACGTATTTGACTGTCTAGCACACACAGTTATAAAGATAATAAACAAAGGTCATACAATCATTTGCATAGTAATCAACGAAACCCCATGAAATGAGTTTGGTGTGATAGTCGTCGCTCTCGCGAAGATGACAACAACTCGACAAACCTGCCGCTCATCATGTGCATCTGCGCAAAGCTTGAACTCTCTTCCTGGTATCTTTAATGTGAAGCCATACGTTTGTTCCTTTTCCCTGAATCCTGGTGGAAGGCCTTCCCTCACCTTATAACCCTCCTCTTCTGTTCCTAGGAATATGTCTTTAATGGGATAAGCATCCTAGGAAGAGTAACAAATATGTCTTTAACGGGATGAGCATCCTAAGAAGAGTAACAAACATGTCTTTAATGGGATGAGTATGCTAGGAAGAGTATCATTACCAGTATTTTCAAGCTGCAGGACGATTATTATTTCATTTAAGGCAAGTTTTACCATGTTCATATGGTTGAAGGACGATACTGCTATGACACAATCTTCTGTCTCTGGTACTTTCTCCTCCATCTATGTGTGTCTACCTGCCTGCCTGACCATCTATCTGTCTGCCACTCTGCCCGTGCACTTGACTGTGCACCTGTCGGCTTGCCTACACGCCTACCTACATGCCTGCCTACACGCCTGCCTACACGCTCGTCCGTCCATCCATGATGCTACTTATCACGCACCATCGGCTGGTTGAAGTACATCAGTCGTCGGTCATCTAATGAGAACCATCTCTGTTTATACGACTCCTTGCCTGAAGGTCCCGTCTTCCACAGCCAACCCTCCTTGATGAAATCTCTGACAAGACGGCGTGCTAGCTGCAAGCACAAACTGACGTTAAAGCATTTCATAAAATACATGTTCACAGAATATATTCACTTGATATGATTGTTCCAAACTATAATATATATATGTGTGTTCTGCGTATATGTTCTCAATGCGTATATTTGTTATTACCATACAATACCAAATTAAATATGACAAACAAGATTACCATTTTATATAACCCTAGTATGGTTTTACCCGTATTTGATAATAATCTGTATACAATATTTATAAACTTACAATGCCGTCGGAATTTCGTTTACAAACAATCAGACATTCACTTACCACCTTGTCTTTGGTTCCTGGAAAAGCCACTCGATTTAGTGTCATCTTGGCAGCTCTTATCGCATTGTACCAGTCAACGATGTCCTTTAAGAGAAGCAGTGGAACAGTATTGCTGACACATGTGGCTGCTACTCAAAATACTCCCATTCACTACTCGCTATGCGAACCAGTAAAAATATATGATACTGCAGGGATTTAACTTTTAGAATATACTGTATGATAAGATCAGGAGTGCAGTACCTTTCCATCTTCACTGTAAAGGTACAAGCATCTGGAATTTCCATCTTTCAAGTAAGTAATTTGCATTCCATTTGGGTTGGACATTTTCAGAGGGCAAAAGCAGGCATTCATATCTTGTATGGGGATGACATCTTTTGGCTCTTTGTTCTGAAGTAGTCAATATCAGTCACAGATTACAGCTATTGCATTAAGCCCATACACTACCAGGAAGCTAAAGCTGGCAACCAAATGCATCCGGAAATACATTAAAACTTTCTCTTCATATAATTTCCTGTCTAAGTACCGTGATTTAAACTGAATGCAGCTTTTTAGAGCCATTACAAATTTTACCTAAACAAGAAATCATAATGTGCAAAAATGAAACCACATATCAGTAGACATTAGGCTCGTTTATAGCATCTTAAAATCTGTAATTTATGCAGTCTTAAGTACTGCAGGAACGATAAAAAATAATAAAAACACTGATAAAATGCACTTCAGTTACAACTTACAAGCTAATTATCTAAAAATCAGAGTCGATGGTTTTTTCACTTTTACATCTTCAAGCAATAATGGAATATTCAGGCAAAGTCCCCAGACTTTTAAAGACCAAACAGACTCCGTAGGCATGCTTTGGCGGCTTGGCCACTCGTAAATAACGTAACACAAAAGTTGTAAAAAGTTGGCAAAAGACTGTGCGAAAAGCGCAATTAGGGACACTTGCAACTGTAATCCATGATGTGAAATTGTCGCGCTGACGGCCGCAGACGGGCGTGACTCGCTCACACTGACCTCCTTTACGAAGTATCGCAGGGTGTAGTCATGCTCGTTGAGAAAGAACCTGCGCAGCTGAAAGCGGTGATCGTCTTTGCCACGCTTGTACAGGTATCCCTCCTTGACGCCTCCTTGCAGGTAGTGTACAGGTTCCGGGCCAGTAAACTCCTTGCGGTCGTACTTTGCGCGTATCCACTGCTCACGTAAGACACTACGGAAACGACGACGACATCAGTAAATACTCCTGTATAGGTGTACTTGGCATCCGAGTAAAGATCATGTTGCCATGGGATCCGTCTGGCAAGCTTGGACCCAAGAAGCCTCTTCCTGACCAGGTATGTTTTGTGGCCTATTCATCATGTGATGGCATAAGCTTTCTGTTACAGTATACTGTACATTTGCTGTTTAGGAAAAGGATACTTGGTAGCTTTGGCCAATGTGGGGAGGGGGCAGCCTGTTGACATACCTTATGTGTTATTTTTCCAAATCGATGTCAGTGTAATTTCTGAGTCTGTACATCTGTGTTGCATCGATGTGCAGGTGAACATTGTTGAACCCAAGGAGGAGGAGCTTCCAACTGCACCAATCAGTGAGCAGAAAAATGCTAAGCCAGAGACCCCTGCGGCTCCGGTCGCTGCTCCAGGCCCAATTCCGCAGTAGACGGTGCTTAGGTGAGTTATGCAACTACAGATAGCATTGGAAGCCACAGGAGTTGAAACGTACATCCCCATTCTAATAGCCATAGAACCTTTTTTCAGTTTATATTATTGCTCAAGATTCTATCGCCACACTTATTACTATCCCGGTTTAGGGACAGCTTGAATATGGAGGTAATTAGATTCGGCTTTTGTTGTGATACAAACTCGTGTATAAATTTATTTGCTTGTGTGTGATGACACCTACTGACACCTCTTATGCGAGTGGGTTGTAGTAATCCACGATGGATACAACTGCTTAAAAGCATTCTGATGCAAGCAAAAACACAATTACAGTGTCTGTGTTAGATAATTGAATAATTCACTTGTGTGGACAGTGATTTAGGAGTAGGACATTACATAGCATTGTTTTTCTGTTTCCACAGGTGTCGGCCATCGGTACGAGAAAGCCGTGATTAACCAAGAAGACACCCTTAGCAGCATAAAATGTATCTGGCTCCTGTACAGAATAAAAAAAGACAAAGCTATTCTTAGTCGATTTTGTGGCAGCTTTATTTGTGTTACAACCTGAAGCCTTGTTTGGAAGCGGAAGTATGGATAGATTACTGAGCACATCAACGTAGTTACAAGATAAAGATTTAAAACCAGAGTTGCCAATTCGAATATCTGGACACAGTGGTGGCTTGCATGTTATGGGTTTATTATTGGCTTTCCTTCACAGAATATTGTCCAGCTTCTTTCCTTGCGTGGAAAGTGGTGTTAATGCAGCAAAAACATAGTTCTGTCCAGTACACCCTGACAGGTATTTTATGCCTAAATAATGATTTCTATTGGGTGTTGGGTAGGATGGATTTCTACAGAATTAATGGCAGTTATGTGGACATGTGAATGCACAACCCACTACAAAAACATGGTTATGTAAAAGTAATTATGGATTTTGTTCCATACCAATTGAACAAGGATGATACTTATAAATTTAGGCATGAAAATTGTACAGGCAACAACACGGTAATTTCCAATTATAGCACGGTAGCGGCAAAAAACCTGCAATTAATCAAGGGTACTGCCGGAACGTACCCTGGGTACGGTCCGGTATACCGGAACGTACCCTGGTACTATCTAATATGCCGGACCGTACCTCGCCTACTCCACTAACGAGTCTAGGGAGTCGCCTACGCCTACTCCCTAACCTTAACCCTAACCTGAAACCGAGCCCTAACCCTAATCCTAACCCTAACCATATCAAATAGTCACCAGGGTACGTTCCGGTATACCGGGCCGTACCCAGGGTACGTTCCGGCAGTACCCTGGGGGACATAGACCCTATGAGCTACAGTAAGCTCGAGGTGGGATAATTTGCTATGTAAACAAGTGACCGTCTGACCTCTGGCAGGATTCAGTAAAGAACTTACTCTGGATCATTTGGTCCTGGATGCCTGTAGAAGAGAGGGACATTCTTTTCAAATTTTTCCTTTGCTACCATATTCCCATTAGCGTCCATGAACTGTAAAATCATAAAATAAGATTATCATAGAGTGCAGATAGGAGTCGAATTTCCAGAAACCTTATTAGGGATATCACGCACAGATTCCTATGGCATTTCACTACAAGAACCTAATATTTCAGTGCACCACGTGATGAAATGATACATTAGTCGCATCATGAACATTGGATGCCACATGCAGCATTAGAATGCAAATTGCACATAATCGTATCATGTAGTCAAGAATAGGTGAGCAACTATAATAGTCGCTGCAGAGACGCACGAGGGGCATATACAAACTCACACATACCTCCACCTGATGTGACTCCCAGTTGTCCAGTCGCAGCGACTTCACCTTGCTAATGTGTGAGCCCAGATTCCGGTGGAAGCCTGCGCATTTCGTACACAGGAACACACCCAAGTTGCTAGATGCCCAGTCTGGATCTGCAAATGCAAACACACTTAAAAGCATCAGGTTAAGCAACAGAGGGACCCTGAGTGAACCCTAATTCCCAATGTTCTTATTTACTCACACTACTACACTTAAATTAGGTGATTTCATAACGATTTATTGTTTTGGAGCAGCTTTGTAGTCATGAACTCATAGTGACCTTTACTTTACTCTGATGGATAATTACTGAAGCTATTCACCTGTAAACTGAACAAAAAGTTTCACATGATCAGCCATCTAAATTAACATGCGGATATGAATCAGGCACACAATAGTTCTTGCTTGCTATCTACTCATCGTGCCATCACAATAACATCACATACGTGATAACAACACGTGCAAAATGTACTTTGCATACATTGAGATCACCTTGAGATTACCTCTGGGCAACCAGCAGAGGATGTGAAATACTAGTATACTAAACTATTCCTATTCAGCCACTTCATTAACTGTAATAGAACTGTGGCCTTTTTCACAGAACACATGTAAATCTTCTACTAGACACAACTTTTCCCGCATTTTTTGAAACAGTTAAAAAACCATTTCTTCATTTTAGATTGGACCTGGATCCTTGGAATGTTATATATTATAATGCATTAATATTATTTGTTAGGAGGAGGGAATTTTGTATATATTTACATTTTAAATCCATTTTATATTTATTATTATTTATTATATTTTATTACATTTATATTGTATCATTATAGTTTCATTATAGTTATGTATATGTATATATATAATATATATTATATATTATATGACAATACACGCAAACGATGGAACTATATCTATAACTAGATATGCTCGCTGGTGGCTGCAAAGTCTGCAGTTCATTGGCGGCATGAAAACTAACGATCAAAATCGTTTCATTTCTTGCCACATGGCAGCCAATATCAGTGAGTTACTCTTGCTATACAGCTAGACGTTAGCTAGAGCTGGCTGTGCCCACGCTACGTTGTTAAAAATAGACACATAATATTCGGTCTGGTAAGTGAGACTACCCGCGCCTATTTTGGGCCTAGACTTCAGCTGCCGCATCCCGAACTACCCTGAGTGCGGCAGGATTGAAGATGATTCTCCTGCAAAGCAACAGAATTCATGCGGTTTGGCAGAGGGGTCACCTTATATCATATTCCCCAGAATACTGGACGCACCACAACTCCAATTTAACGCTCCAGCGTTATTATATTCTCAGATATCTTGAAAAAATACATTGCGGTATATTTAGGGAGACGTCCCTAAGTGTGGGAGTGAAGCGTGGGGTATTACATTCACGTATACATGGAAGGAGAACCGTCAGCTGTTACAACAGAGTTACCCTGAAGCACGTAAACCTCGCCGAAATGGCAGCAAGTTATGTCGGCCCGTGCAGGGTATGCACATTTCTGCCTCTGTAAACCTGGGCTTCAGCAGTGTGGAAACGAAGCCAGTGACAGTGGGAGGGTAATCTGCGGTGCTCGTACAGTCAGGTTGTGAAGCTCTAGGCTACTACACTCAGTATCTCTATTTTGGATAGCTGTGCAGGAACCTATCATGTATTATCTCCAATCGCAGGTGAGGTGTGCTGCATGCTTAGGAGTCTCGAAACCTCTGTTTTGCGCTCATATAACCAAATATTTACTTAAATACGCCTTCCATATAAACTAAAAACAAGATGAAATTCAGTGAGTTCTGATTCTCGAATAACGCATCAAAATCATTGCACAATTGCAAATAGACTAGTAAACAGATAACAGTTCAATGGTGCATATACTTGGATAATTTTGATAATATTTGGATGTACTTGGATAATATTCGGATGTACATGGGTAATACCATAGACTAAGAACATCTTATAGATATTTTTAGTTTATGGTAATACTTGTACAATACTTGATGTAACACTGAATATACTTGGAAAATTTAATAATGCATGTTTTCATTATAACTGTTGTTCTGTTCTGTGCATGAACGCTGTTCTTATATGTAATCTTTCCAGTGACGTCATAGTACAGATAAATTATGCTAACTTACAAATACGATAATATTCTGTGTTAGTGTTACGTAAATTCTTCCATACGTAATTTGTTATTCATTACCATTTTTAAAATGTGCGATACAACGAAACGTATATTCGTTCTTATGCGTTTAAAAGGTATGAATGCGTTTTTCTACCCAAAGATTTCACGTGCTTCATCACCAGCAATAACACTAATAACTAACAGATCATATGCAGCCAGCTGCCAACATACCATGCAGACAGGCCAGCTTTTACATTAGTCACTAGCTATAGTAAGTCAGCTTCCTACCCTTAGAAAACACACTTACACGTTGCGTGTGCACGTGCGTTTTCCTGCAATTAGTGTCCTGCATAAAACGTACTCCAGGTACAGGGCATTAGTTCTAATTCTAAACTCGATCTCTGTGTTACATCATTAAATAATCACTCCATACATTTGACAGTGTTAATTTACTCGCATTCGTAATTGTGCTTGAATTATGGGAAATTTGGGGGATTATACCCACTTAATTTGGCCAACAAACTTTCCGTATGAACGCGTCTCGATTTATGTAATTCGAGTGACGTTACCAAGTTTCGCACTACAGACGTTTATTACTGGAATGCACTACTTCCGTGACGCAGGATATTACTGTACATAGTAAGGTTCAACAATCTGACTCATTCGAGGTGCATGCAACCCTGCTCAATATCGAGTTACAGTTGATGTTCCAGGGCAAACCTCCTGCAAAAATTAAGCCCCATAGCAAGAAGAGACAACTTCACTTGAAATGGGTGAAAATAATTAAAGCAATTTAGTATTACAAATGCATGTACCATGAGATAACGAAAGCTAACTAACTGTAAAGTCTGGAATCCATTACATTTAACAGTCTGGTAATTTGCTTTTCTTGTTGCATCATCGAGTGAGAAATAAATGATCAGTTGTAGGACGTCCTTCTACTATATGTTTAGAAATACACTGGATTTATTTAACCTTTTTGCTATTGCCTGGATTTAACACATTTGCATGAACTCAACTAAACCTTTCACGGTATAAGCATAATCTAACCATCCCATCGTGTATGAATAGCTAATAATAAATAATACAATATCTGCAATTATCGATTGCAGATTTCTCAAAAATATATATATATATTATACAACATGTCATTGTACATATATACCCACTTACCCAAGATGACGATAGTGAAGTTGGTGCATATTTATCCGCTATCAGTATCACGTACTGATTGCCTTTTAAATTTATATCAACTTCACCTGACCCATCTTGATGAAGCTAGTTTTACTCTTCTCGTGACGACTATTTCAGAAGAAAAGCAAAGGTGGCACGCCATTCTTTAGGAAGTACTCCTACCAGCCAGGCTGGTACGAGTATAGCTACTGGAACCCGAGCTATTTCCATGAAATAGGGTGAGTGCTTGCTGGGCTTAGCGCTAGGAGCGCCTCTCATCGCGAGGCTACTAAAACCCGTCTGAAATAATTTCCAGGTGAGAGGTGGGCCCAGTTACCTACAATCGTCGTACAGGAACCCCAGCTACCTGCACGACTATGGGTGAGTTGTGTCGTGCCCGCGGGCTGCACACGTGCATGACAGACGCGCAATGAACACGGGAGTTTCTCGTGGGATCATGTTACTGTGTGACCAGTGTTACCGAAAGAATGAAGCGATGAGCACACGGGATGTTCTCCCACCCCAATACTCAATCTGCAACAGGCGTAGTTGTTAACTGGAGTGGTTTTCCTTTCTGACTGAACGTGCAGACCCAACTTGAGCGTGCAACGCCCAAATTGAGTGTTTTTGCATACTTCAAAGGCAGGGGATCCCGGTTGCGGAGTTGTGATTTCACTTCTTTTCATGTGTCTGGAATCTATGCTTATACAGGCTTCCGCTGGCACATGAATATATATATATATATATATATGCTTGCTAGTTTGCAGTGCTTCATTTCATCTTTATAGATTGTTTACTTTTTCTTGTTTATAATTATTGCACCTTTTTCTATCATTGTCTTCTGTTAGTGTCTTTTATTCTTGAGATAGACAATCACATATTGCAGATGTGTCTCATATGTTATGTATAAGCTCCAGATAAATGTAGACGACAACCACTTTTTTTTCTATAGCCGTTCATTATTCTACTCCTAAACACACAAAGTTTGCGAGAAATATTATCAAGTATGAGTAAAAACTAATTTGTTTTTGTTCACGCCTGATAGTATGCTCATAGATATGAATAGCTATATATAGTTGCACTAGAATACATGCACTGCATCGTGTTTTATACTTTATTATTTTAGGCTTTATAAACGATTAATTCTTAGCTTAGCGTTCTGAATTATGTGACCACACAGTATGGCATCATTATGACAGATTATTCATTAAACACGTGTCTCTGGATCTACTCCATCCCCGTCTGATATTTAAGGCTTTAAGCATGTGAGAAATTCGTCATCGGGATCATAGCAGCTATACAGTCGGTACACACCAAGAGGATGAGCTAGCTGTCTGTAACGGATACATGTACGGTGTCAGCTAGCCAGGAAGCATTTAGCACAAGCACACACACACACACACACACACATATGCACACACAGAGTTACACACGCAAACACGCACGCACGCACGCACACACGCACGCACGCACGCACACACACGCTCGACCGCACGCACGCACACGCACGCACATACGCACACACTTGCACGCACACACACGCTCTACCGCGCGCACGCACGCTAGAGCACGCACGCACATGCAAACGCAGGCGCACAATCGCGCACTAACTCACGCCGCATATCGCATAAATATAGGCAAGTATTCGGCCACGTTGTAGCAGCCTTACATAATCTTTCCCCAACAGTGGACCAGGCCGGCCCCGTGGCTTCACCGGGGAGAGATTGGATTACACGGCAACAGATTAAGAGTGACGTTCGCCATATGTGAGCAGGCGTGTGTGTATATATGGTCACGTCTACCGCAAAACTGCACTCAGCCCCCGCGCCGAGCTTTTCTAAGCTTTCCGCAACTCGCACTTTATTCGCTCAGTTCACTGGAATTTTCGGTACATTACTTGCAGTGAGTCATGCTCTCATTATGAAGTGCACCTAGACTTCCTCAGCCCAACACAGCAAAACACCAACATAGTCATCACAGTGCAGCAAAGACCGGTGCCCAAAACCTAGGTCCCAAATCTTTTTTAGCAACAAAAAACCGGCTCATGCAAAAAAGATGACATGGAAGCACAGACTCACTAAATGTCCATTGAGTAGTTTCGAATCGCTACTTTCAACGACTGAAGTAAACGATTTGTTTCATTTTGATAACAGTCCATCTGATAATTAAGTGTTGAAATATTGCGTAATTAAACAAGAATGAGAATTAGAGGAGGAAAAGATCAATAGATAAAGTCAGAGGACAACGGAAATGGAACAATCAGATTTAGTTGCGGCAAAACATGATAGATGCGCAAAGAGGAAAGTATGACACACACAGAGATAGAGATAGAGAGAGAGAGAGGGGGTGGGGAAAAGAAAGAGGCAGAGAGAGGGGAGAGAGAGGGGAGAGAGAGAGAGAGAGAGAGAAAGAAAGAGAGAAAGAGAAGAGAGAGAGAAGAGAGAGAGAAGAAGAGAGGAGAGAGAGAGAGAGAGAGAGAGAGAGAGAGAGAGAGAGAGAGAAAGAAATAAGGAGAAAAAGATGGGAGAGTAATAAGATATGGAGAACGAGAGAAATATATCTAGGAATTAGAGATAGGAGCGCGAAGGAGGAGGAGGATGCGAAACCGAAGTAATGCGGAATTTTTCACGTGCTCTACAAAAAAAGAGACAGCTGCCAAACAGCATATATATATATATATATATATATATATATATATATATATACAGTTCTCGAAATATCGACACAGCACGGAACTGGAAGCTGGTCGTTTTTGTTGATGCTCTGCGGATTCACGTGTTAACGATGTTATCCATAAACAGCGCATTCAGCAAACATACGACGAGTGTGCACTGCTATATATACTAACCCACAGCAAAGATGCAAAGCCGGATGCTGCATGCAGTCCCAATTCGGAAAATGTAGGGGTGTACTATAGGCAGCGGCTGGCAAATGTCGAGAGTCTGCGTTGACACGGTCAGCCCCACAGGCACTTGGAGCGTTTCAATAAAATATAATGCTAAATAAATACGAAATCTATTTACTATATATATATAGCTATATATTTATGTGTCAGTGTGCAGCGGCAGCACACAGGGGGCAGCCAGCGTTTGTTGGAGATGAGCATTTGGATGGCATTTGCAGAAAATGTCAGCAATAATAGGTGAAAGAAAGTATAGAAACATTAAGACTTTGGTAGTAAATAGATTTCGTATTTATTTAGCATTTTATTTTATTGAAACACTCCAAGTGTCTATGCATGGTCAGCCCGATACCTTACGTATCACCGAATCTCGCGCGTGATCTCTCACGGTGGAATAGCTTAGTGACGGCGGAACGCAGCGCTATTATACTAGGCTTCACCGGCCGTGTGCAATACACGGCTAAAAATATACACCGGAGTGACAAGTGGCTCTCTCGCGTGGGCCTCGCGCATTTCTCTCTCCTCCTATTCCTCTCGCGCTCGCTCCTAGTAACCCGATACGGATAAACCCAACAATCCATTAGTAGAAACGGAGCAAGCTAATTTTTGCATCAGTTACCGTTCACGCTGACAATTTACCAAATTAATTATAATGAATATAAGGTGCACGAACAATGTTTCCTAGAAAATGGAAACGCCCGTCCTAAATAAAAGTAGCATATATTAGCAAGAGCACATAAACTGTCTTATTATATTTGCGTAACGCGTTGATTTATGTGAAACCGTATATATGTGGTCTTAATATATTACCGAGTGACTCTGATACCTTTGAGAACGTGGCTTTCGTCTAATGAAGCCCACGACAAGGCTTTACCTTGTTGATCTTGGTGTTGTTTATTTTTCAGCTACGAAGACGATACCTACGTGAAGCCTATCTACAGCTACCGCCCGCAGCCCCGTTACAACAGGTGACCATGTGTAAACAGCAAAAATGTTCACCTCAGCTCTAAATATCCCCGATAAACAACGGGTCTCAATTGCATATAGAGCTATGGCATCTCTCTAATGAATCTGAGTGATTAATTAGCAGTGTAAATATTTATTCATGTATTGATTAGAGTAATCAGTAATGATAGCAAACAAGACCGATGCACAATGTTGGTGATAGATATATGCCAGCGAGTATTTTGCCGGAATCAGTTTTCTTTTTGGGCCAAATGTGCATATGAACGACATACGATAATTTTATTCATGAGTTCATGTACTATATAGAGGTTTGCGCACTTTTTTACAACAATTTCTAATAATACTTTAAACCTGAATTTGTAATACAACTCTTAACAACATCTAACTCACATCTGATTTTGTATAGTATTTGTAAATCTCGACAAGTTTATCATATCCTAGACAGCAAATAAGCATGGCTACTATATATTCAGTGATACGATAAACATATGTATACCTGCAACTCAGTATACATAAGTTAACGCTAATATTGGTAGTGTCAATATTTGTACCGTTGCTCGTTTTTTTCTACATTACATGTTATGACTGACCTGTGACTGTACAGAATGCATGATTTTTTCTACCTCACACTTAGCATGTCAAAAAATTGTCGTAGGTTAATTTTAACTAAACTACGTAGTTTCCATGTGTGCATGTAGATGCTAGGAACAAGTTATGTGTCTAAAAACTTTCCTCTTCCAATTTATGGAGTGTATTATTATATTATGATCGCTTTCACAATCCACGCACCCTTCCATATCCCCCATCCATCCCCCCAATTAAACCCTGAAGAGAGAGTCCATTAATATTAAACGAGTCTTAATTGCCATTTTAAGTAATCGATCTGAAATGTTCACACCATCTTGCATTCATCCTAAATTCTGTTCACCTCTACATTTATTTGTCTCCCCAGGATTTAATTTTATTTGGATCACTCCAGAATTCTAATGCATTTCTAGTTTATCCGACCTGTGAAGCTACTTAATGCACACGGAGCAACAACCATTTATATCATAAAGATATGTATATTCTGATACTATTACATCATTGGTTGTGGCAACAATGCAATATCAGAATTCTCGAAAACTACCACTATATGTCACTGATGCCTATCTTGCGGATAACTAATCTAAGTTGGGGCTATCTTATACAAGTATCAATCTTTGGCACTTATAAACCAATGATCAGAAACTGCACAACACATACCAACTTAAGTGCTATACTTATTGCTGCCAACCTGCAGCACTTTTTGAAAATTCTGAAATGACATTGTCGCTACAAACAAAGGCCTATATGGTATATATGCTTATGCTTAAATATCCATTCTGCCAGGGATGAATATAATTCTGAAATGACATTGTCGCTACAAACAAAGGCCTATATGGTATATATGCTTATGCTCAAATATCCATTCTGCCACGGATGAATATAATTCTGAAATGACATTGTCGCTACACCCAAATGCCTATTATGGTATATGCTTATATGCTTTCCATTTTACCAGGGATGAATAAAAACACATTTGTTTTTATTCACTCCTGATTCGACAGTGCTTCACTCTCTGCACCCATATTACATCCTTTCTCTATGCTCACATTCCTTATATTGTGTCACGATGTTCCTTGGTTAATCGACATGGACCTGCTGTGACGGTAAAGACATATATATCAAGAGTGCATAATAGAGATTAATAATAGAGATCTCTATTATGCACTCTTGATATATATATATGTACCTTTTCACTTCTCTCGGCCAAGAAATTACTTGGAAATCACTTCAAAAGAAAGGAGGGGCGTGAAACGTTGACACGTATGATGTCTGTATAATCTCGTTTTGGCAGGTTTGTATTTGATGATGAGGATGAGGACGGTAAGCCGGCAGAGATGACTGAAACCAATGCCGCAGCGGGCCCGCGCCACAGCACCTGGACGGGCCGCAGTTACGGCTACAGCACACCTACGTTCGACTATTATATCAAGGGGGTAGGGCTGCGCACGACTCGTCCGGGTATCAAATATCCTCCCTACGCGAGCGAGGGATACCACTACAAGCCCATCTACGTGTACAAGATGGACGACGATGTGCCGCTCGTAGACACGCACTACATCAAGCCCTACAAGAAGTATGCGCACAGCTACCTGCCGTTCCACTACCGGGAGCGCTACAGCAAGCCCCAACACGAGCACTACTACAAGCCAAGCTTCGCTGTCAAGAACCAGCTCGACCACTACGGCTACGTCACCCGCCGCTTCCACTAGGGGGCGCCGCACTGCCACCACGGACCGCACCACCTTCGCGGAACTTTACTCAACTCTAATCGTTCTCGTAAGACTCCGCCACCGCGGCGCCAGCAAACACGTGGCGCCGCCACTCTCTCCGTCCCGTGCACCGGAATCCCCCATCTCTGTGTCCCTGCATCTCCTAACAAGCATCTAACTGCATAATGCTGAGCTGTGTGTAGCCAACACTCGGTGACCGCACCGCGGTGTCACGCTCAGGGGACGTTCTCGCCTGACGCATAGTAGTGTCGTGACTGTTGCAAGCACCGTGCATACGTTACTAACAGCAGCTAACCCGATCGCTGTTCTGTGTCCTCACCGTCATCGGCAACGATCGTCCGCCTGCGCGTCTCGCGCTCAAAACCCGGCATCTTTTCATCTTAGCAGAGAAAAGGAGATCGACGAGTACGAGCTGAAGTCCTACCCTTACCTGGAGCCGATGCACAACACGCACCGACGCACCTACGGTTGCGAATTCAGTCCCCAATCCGACTACATCTACTCCAAGGGCGTCAGCTTCAGCCGGCCAACCAGCAACAACTACGGAGGCTCTTACGGCTACGGCAATCTGTACAGGTCGGCAGCACGCGCCCACGCGCAACAAATAACGCGAGGTGGCTAACGTAGAACCCGCACTAACACCGCCCAGCCGCCCGTGCAAGCGGCCACGCCGACGGTCATCTCATCACCTCGCCGCAGCCCGCCGCAGCCCGCCGCGCCGCGCCGGCCAACCGATTAATCATGCGCCGCCGCCGCCGCCGCCGCCACCCATGACCCACCTCACCATCGCTCACTCAGCGTATTTTCGTCTGCTGCAGGACGCAGAGGGCCGCAGACACGCGCGACCACTCCGACCTGAAGCTCTACCCGCACCTGGAGCCGAGCTACAGCGGCTCGCACGGCCGCCGCAGCTACGGCGTCGACATCACGCCTGCCTACGACTACCTCTACGGAAAGTCGTTCAGCTTCGGCCGACCGACGCCCGGCTACACGTCGAGGTCGGACTACCGCTCATCGCCGAGCTACGGCTACACGCCGAGCGAGACCTACTACAGCAGGTATAACCGCACAGAGCCCTTTCAGAGAAACAGCGCGTCCCCGCTACAGTGCAGCTATAACTTCAGCAAGCCATGGCTTTACATTCGCGGCACCCAGATCGGCCACCACTAGGCTTTCCTTCCTCCTCCTGCTGCCGCCAGCGTGCACGGGGCGTTAGTGTGCCTGACGCCCCGTTGGTCAACCACCAACACGCAACGTGCGCACACATTCAGAAACGTGTGCATTTTTAAAATACGATAGCAACAACTGAATCAAAGCCATCAAAGGAAACGTACGTGTGTATGCGATTCTTAGCACAATTTTATGAGCAGTGAGATTGTTATGAGGATCTGTTAAAAAAGATGCCTAAAGTAAATATGACTTTGAATCAGTCTACAGTATATGTTACAACTTACCTACTCCTGGATAATGAAAAAGCATCATGTACTTTAAAAGTTATAAAATTGCAGTTATATATGATAATTGGTTACAATAGATAGAATGTTTCACACAATTTTGCCAATTGTTTCATCGCTCCTTATGTGTTCATAGTAAAACTCTAAGGAAACGTGATAAGATCGTGTTAAAGTTTTTTCCTGTCTGAATCATGTGATGAAATTCGTCTTACACAAATGTATACTATAGATTGCTACAACAACTGAATATCATACTGCTATTTTTAATCTATACCTAGTTACTGGCCAGTCAGTGGTAGCACTAATACAGAAATTTTTAATGTCGACGGAATATGGAGACCTGTATTCCAAACAGCTGGCTTCTTGAATTCTGAAGCCCCATACATGGACTGGTTATAGTTTATAATCTCACCTAAAGTGGGCAGATCTATACATTTTATAAAATGAAGTTGTAAATCAGTGAATGAAGTTAGGTAGAGAAACCACTATCACTTCATATATCATTTCAATATTACCATTTTCATTCATTTATATCAGCTGAAGTCTATCAGAAAATGAGATTCAATACTCTTTTCGCACAATTTATTGAGCAACTCAGCATGATCACATTAAAGATGTCACGTGCCAATACGTAAGAAATTAGCCTGCAAAACAGATATTAAAGGCACTTTCTGTATTCGTCCACTCACAAGCGAACACAATAACGTAGCTGTCTCAATATTGCCAGATAGCACTTTGAGCAACAAGACAGAAGAAAAATAAAGGTCGCCTGCAAAAGTTCTTCATTTTTCTGGTTTATTTCAGATACAATCAGCGCCACTATAGACCTGCAGCCTATCAGCCATTATATAGCAAACCAAACACGTTCCGCTCCACGTACAGACCACAGTTTGCTGTGGAGCATCAGCTTAACCGTGCCGGCTACAGATACTGACGTGTACCATCGCTCCACCCTCTTCCCTCTGCTCTCTTCACCCACCAAATGAACCGCAAATCAATCTGGCAACCCAGCTCAGCATATATGCGCTCTGCCGCGTGAGAGCACTTGAAATAAATTTAAGAATTTTCGACGACCGTAGTGCTGCTACCTGGCAGGCTCCCCACTTCTGCAGATTTAAAGAGGTAGTATGGGATTATGCTTTGGTACAAAATCTTACAGACGTTAGATCTTCTTCGCCCTTCAAAATCAATTAGACTTATAGTCTAAACGCTTTCACACTCACCCTTGTATAGAATTCATACATGGCGTAGCAGGGTGAAGAGATGTAGTAGAATGATATTTTTTTTAGGCTATCTAACAGCTCTGTTTACCTACAATGGATAGCACTAGGTGCACCCATGTTGATTCATGGCAAATGCAACCAGATTGTTACAAGGTGTCAAGTGGCACCTAGCCCCTTGAGTACACATCCATACAAAAGCATTAAAATGCTGCCATCAAACTTACTGGTCTGTTTACATGTTGCAGGTTTAAATCATGCATTTTACTCATAGCCACTCATATAGCTACTAGTACTACGCATTATTAATCATCCTAATGTGCCCAGCATCATATAATCAGGAATGTAGAATTGCTGTGGCAGCTATGTGACCTGTATGTATCTTGCATTTTTAATAATCAATCAATGAATAATTAATTATGCAGTTAAATTAGGACGCTTGTCTTAGATAGTTTAAATATAGAATAATGAGTCAAGCATAGAACATTTCGGTCACTTTTGTGATCCACTTCACTTCAGGGAAACCATATTGCGATTCACCATTACCATATATCCATTTTAACAAGATAAATTCTTTTATAAGATATTATACCATGTAGTATCATGTGCAGTAGTTTCTTTGCTGAATAATCATACAGGTATTGGCAAACAGAAATATTGTGAAAGGAATTTATTTTATTGCAGTTGTTTTTATAACATCTAATTACGAATTTAAATGCTTATAAGATATATGAGAATAGTCGCGAGATTGGACTGAAGTACGTGTAATCACAATTTTTACCAGAATAACTTTGGTCTAGTTAAGCAAAATGTAGTACTACCAGTCAGAATATAGCGTATTCTAGTAGCTACAAAGAATACAAGTTGTCGAGTGACAAGAAGCAGGTAATGCCATTGCTCTCAATTTTATTTCTAATCCTGTGAACAGAGAGTCACTCCAATAAGATCAGTGAACTATTCAACAGTTCATATACTTTTTGCTCTATCGAACCCATGTTTGTGTGATGACCGAAATATGGGCATCTCCTGTACAGATGCTGCACGTTGGGCCCAACATAAAGCCAAGGGCATTGATGATGCTGCAGGTGCACAGTTAATTATTTATCACTAGTAATAGCTGTAATCACTGTCAGAGATAAACACTGAAAATTTACATGTAATTAAAACTATGTTACAATAAATTATTTCTGTTGTTTAATTCGATAGTATATCTAACTGAATTTGAAAATTTATGAGAACAGGTTATCAAATAAAGCATTTGACATTAATCCACATTTTACAGATGGGTTCCTAGATATTCATGACATGAGAATTAACTGGAGGTAAATACTCTGACAGTTGCCTAGCTGATGTCCATTGTAACATGCACAAAACTAGGAAATATAATTATATAGCACTAGATACAATAATGTAACACAACACGACACAACACGCGTCGCACGTCGCACCCTATTCTGTTGGGGCACTGGTACAGTATTATACTTATAGTTTATACTATGCCCCCATGCATTGCCACTTGGGCTGACAGTCTCAATTCTAAAATGATAATAAATAAACACGAATTGTGTATCAGTCTCGGTATTTATGTACTCTCTGTATCACACGATAACTCCACGTAAACGTCGTTCAAATAATCTCCTACAACACACAATCTTACCGCATACACACAACCAGTTTATCAAACTATCTTTTTGTTAGTTTGTGCAGTGGCAGTGCCAGTGTCAGTGAATTTCAGTGCCAGTGGCAGTGGCAATGGAACCAGAAATGCAAAATCCTGAGTGCAGTGCCAGTTAGTGAGTACGCATAACACGCGTTCTAAACTATATTTCATTAAAGACACATACCTGTATCGAGACAATCTGCGCAAGAGTTGTTACCGCTCCCGGGCTTTGCAAGAAGAGCTACCAACTTCGACCTGTTCTTCTCTAAGCTACTCATGTTGTTGTTCTACAGGCTCGATCACATCAGAGTGCTTGAAACACTTGTTGCTCATTGGTGACTTGGACGGGACGGACAGAGCGCTGCGTTCGCAGACTGGTAGACTGGTACTCGCTCCCACCTCGATTACTCGATGGGGGCATCCATAGCACCCATCGAGTAACTAAGCCGAGAGGTGGTAGCGAGTACCAGTCTAGCAGACTGATAGCGAACATGGCGTTAGACTGGTACCCGTCCCTTCTCACAAGCTCGATATAGGGAGCTTGTATATCGATATCCTATATCTAGCTTGTGAGAAGGGACGGGTATCAGTCTAGCTTGGCGTGACCCCGAGCATCTGCCAAGCATACAAGTCATACAGTCATGAGGACCAAGCCGAGGCCTGCATCAAGAGCCCATGATATATATATCAAATATATAACATAAATTATATATAATATCAAGAGCCCATATATATAATAATTAAGTACTATACGACTCCGAAAGAACATAAAATAAACATAGGCCTACTATGTATTCATCTATCTCCCCTCTTTTCTCTCCTCTCTCTCTCTCTTCTCTCCTTCTCTCTCTCTCTCTCTCTCTCTCCTCTCTCTTTCTCTCTTCTCGCGCGCGCTCTCTCTCTCTCTCTCTCTCTCTCTCTCTCTCTCTCTCTCTCTCTCTCTCTCTCTCTCCCTCTCTCTCTCTCTCTCTTTCTCTCTCTCTCTCTCTCTCTTCTCTCTCTCTCTCTCTCTCTCTCTCTCTCTCTCTCTCTCTCTCTCTTCTTCTCCTCTCTCTCTTCTTCTCGCAGCTGCGTTTCACACGTTACACGGCCTAGCTTCCGAACTTAGCACCAACTAAGTACGGTACCTATAAAATGCGTTCACACGAGATACACGAGATTCGAGGCTTAGCTAGCTAGGTATAATATAGACTGGTACCCGGTCGACAGTTCCACACGCTACCCTAACGTCGTGCAGCGAACGGGTAGCAGTCCAAGTTCACACGACACGCGGCCAGCGTGGTGCCAAATATATGCAGCTTAGTTGGCGCGGAATATGATTCCGCGCTAAGCAAGCCGGAGCAATCGCGGCTAAGCAAGCCGCGTATATTTTAGCGTGTGAACGCAACTAAACTCCTCGTGTGAACGCAGCAATTATATATATATATATATATAATAGAAGTTAATAAAGACAAATATTTGTCTTTATTAACTCCTGATAATATTTATGGTGCCCTCACTCTACGTCTTTATGGAAAAATGTCTTTATATACTGCACAATTTGAGATTGAATATCATATACAGTAGTATTAGGACGACCAGTTTCATGCTAAGTTTCATGCTAAGTTTATATTGCATATCATACTGCCAACTCGGCGTATGTTCACGTACTCAAAACAATATTTAAATAAGTCTACTGTTACATATTGAGGATATATGTTAAACCAGTAAGTATATGAAATAATTAAAAACATTAGATGCATTGTAAGTTTAGCTATACAAAAATATTAGAATTTAAAGAGGACCACGATAATGGATGTAGAATTCAGGAGTAAACACACATAGGCAGTTGAGATATATTCGTAAAAAGAATATTAATATACAAGTTCCTATAGGTACATAATCAATAAAAAAGAGGGTTCTAATGACATGCCAAACGCAAAGGTGGGTCCAGGACTATTCATGATAAACTGAACTATAATAGCAAGGGTAAATAAAATCAGGTTTAGGCAATTTTACTATAAAGAGTACGAGCACAACTATACGATTGTGTGGTTTTTATCATTTGTGTTACGTAATGCTGAATCGAGAGTTTTACGAAGGTAGGTAAGTATATATATAATATACGCGCACGTGCGCGCGCGCGCGTGTGTGTGTGTGCCCAGCTAACACAAAAACGTTATTATAACGTTTTTATAACGTACGTTATGCAAAAGTTGTTATAACGTTTTTTGTAACGTTTATATAACGTAAATGTATGGAGTCCTGGCAACGTTGAAATAACGTATTCACAATAACGTGATTATAACGTGGGTTTTCTACTGAAACGTAATTTGCGCAACGTATGTGCGCGTGCGTGCGTGCATATATATACTGTATATATATATATATATATATATCAATGGAAAACAAACATACTAACAAAATCAGTGTTTACGCGAGCTGAGCATATATACACGTAGTGGAATTAATTTTACGACATATAGAAACTGCTGCACATATACAGTATGCAATCAAGCCACAGTTCCGAAAAGTAAAATACGTTTAATCCAGTTTAAAAATATAACTTACAATAAAAACGACATGATTTACAACTATATATATATATATAATATATATTAGTATATTTCTCAATATTAACATCAAAACATCAAAGTTGTTAAAATTTATAATGAAATATTCGGCTATCCTAATGCTGCAGCATATTTGCACCACATAACTACAATATAGTGTTAGTTTCTGAATACAAACATTTCAGAATAAACATTATTATTATATAATACTATACACATATACACATGAAATCACGAACCTTCCTATACAATATTTTGCAGAAATGAATAAAAGCATAATTACAATACAAGAGGCTAATAATACCTATACATACTAGGAGGTGAGCTATAATAAGGTATTATTAGCTCTCGTTACTTACATAGTGATAATTCCTGAATAATCATTCTACTTCTAGGTAAACATCATTATATTACATAGATAGATAGATAGATATAGAGATAGATAGATAGATAGCATAGATAGATAAGTACGATAGACATAGATAGATAGATAGATAGACAGATAGAGCTTTAACACAAAACCATCTATTGTATAAATTTCTCTTCTGTGTGTGTATATATATCATACACATCTTGGGCTTTTTGATTTTATATCTCTCCTGCATTATGCCCTGCTCTAACTCTTTTTCTATGTGTATCTCTCTGAGGGGGGAACGGGTATTTTCGGAACGCGGGATTGGCCGGGAACTGGAACCAAAGAGACGTAGAGTTGAACAAGATAAACCACTCATCGAAATCACGTGCAATGACTGTGTAGTACGGCAATGGAGCGCCACGTCCGCCATTTTAGGAAGCAAAACCCGCTCCGCGTCTGTTTGATACATAGAAATAATATGGTAACCATGGTTAACTAGTAATATGTATATTATAATATACTGTAATAGATAATATTTTTATGCCATAGCTGTATCAAATCTCTCATTCAAGTCTTACAAAAATCTAAACAATGATTCATAATCGGATGTTACTATGTAGGTATGTACACAGTGCAGTGCCAGCTAGTGTGTAGGGAAGTGACTATACCACGGCGGAGTTTAGAAGGGAGAAGGTGTGGAGGAGGGGGAGAAGCTGGTGGATGAAGTAAGGAGGGGAGAAGCTGGTGGGCACGAAGGAAGAGAAAGGCAGAAGAGGGAGGAAAGGACTGGTGGGGAGAGGGGAGAGGGTGGAGACAGGGGGAGAAGGGAGCTGGTGGAAGAGGAGGTGGAGAAGGAGAAGGGGATGAGGGGGCGGGAAGGGAGCTGGTGGAGGAGGAGGGGGAGAAGGGGAGAAGGGGACTAACGGAAGGGAGAGAGGGAGCTGGTGGAGGAGAAGGGAGGAAGGGAGAATGGGCTAAGGAGGGGAGAATGGGGAGCTTGTGGAGGAGGAGGGGGAGACAGGAGAAGGCTTGTTGGAGAGGGGAGAAGCTGGTGAGAGAAGGAGGAGGGGAAGAAGAGAAAGGTGGTGGAGTAAGGAAGACCTGGAGAACTGGTGGGATAGGAGAGGGGAGAAGCTGGTTGGACGGGAGGGAAGGATGAACCAGGGAGCTGGTTGAGAGGAGGATGGGAGAAGGGAGAAGGTTGTGAGGAGGGGAGAAAGCCTGGTGAGAAGGAGGAAGGGGAGAAGAGAGACAGGTGGTGAGGGAGGATGGGAGAAGCTGGTGGACGCGGGAGGGGGAGAAGCTGGTGCAGAAAGGAGGACAGGGAGAACTGGTGGAGGAAGGAGGAAGTTTAAGAAAGGGAATAAGGTGGCTGGAGGAGGGGGAAGCTGGTGGAGAAGAGGGAGAGGAAGCTGGTGGACGAAGGAGGAAGAGGAGAGGAGGGGGAGGAGGGAGCTGTGGAGGAGGAGGGTCAGAAGGGAGAAGGGAGCTGGTGGAGGAGGAGGGGGAGCAAGGGAGAAGGGGATATAGGAAGGGCGAAGGGAGCGGTGGTAGGGAGGAGGGGGACGAAGGAGAAGGGGATACCAGGACAGGGAGAAGGTGGAGCTGTGTGGAGGAGGGGAGGAACCGGGAGAGGGGATAGCAGGGGAGAGCGATAAGGGAAGCTGTGGAGGAGTGAGGGGAGAGGGAAAAAGTCTGCTGGAGGAGGGGAGAAGCTTGGTGGAGAAGTTGGAGGAAGGGGAGGAAGAGAGAAGGCTGGTGAGAAGCGAAATGGGAGAAGCTTGGTGAGAAGGAGGTGGGGGAGAGCTGGTGGAGGCAGGAAGGGGAGAAGGGAGAATGGACAAATAAAGGTAGGGGAAAAGGAGCTGTTGGAGGAGGAGGGAGAAAGCGAGAAGGTTGTGGAGGGGAGAAGCTGGTGACTAAGGAGGAAGGGGAGAAGAGAAGAAAGGTTGGAGAAGGAAAGATGGTAGAAGCTGTGGAGAAGGAGGTGGGGGAGAAGCTTGTGGAGGAGGAAGGGGGAAGAAGCTGGTGGACGAAGGAGGAGGGGGCGAAGCTGGTCTGTTAGCTTCCGTCACTTTCTCTGCACCAGCTTCTCCCCTTCCTCCTTCTCCCACCAGCTCCCTTCTCCCGCCTCACCTTCTCCCCTTCCGCTCCTTCTCCACCAGCTTCTCCCCCTCCTCCTTCTCCAACGCAGCTTTGCTCCCCCTCCTCCTTCTCCAACACCTTCTCCTCTTCTCCGCCTCCTTCTTCTGCCACCAGCCTTCTTCCTCTTCTCACACTCACCCTCTCCTTCTCTCGCCCTCTTCCTTCTCCACTCGCCTTCTCTCCTTCCTTCTCCTACCATCCTCTCTTCTGCCCCCTCCTTCTTCTCCATCCAGCCTTCCTCCCGTCCGTCCTCCCTTGCTCCAACACCGTTCTGCCCTTCTCGCGCCTCCTCCTTCTCCCCCTTCTCCGTCCTCCTCTTCTCCCACCAGCTTCGTGCCCCCTCCTCCTTCTCCAACACCTTCTCCCTTCCTCTAGCCCCTCCTTCTGCGTCACCAGCCTTCTCTGCCTTCCTTCTTCCACCACCGTCCTCTTCTCTCCCCCCTCCTCGCTTCTCTCACCAGCTTCTCCTTCCTTCTCCACCACCGCTCTCTCTCTCCCCCTCCTTTCTTCCCAGCCAGCTCTCTCCTCCTCTCCTTCTCCAACACGCTCTCCCTTCTCCTCCTCACTCCCTTCTCCACCAGCTTCTCCCTTCTCCTTGCTCCCACACACTTTCCTGTCTTGCCTTCTTCTCCCCCTTCCTGCCTTTCCACCAGCCTTCTGTCCTTCCTCCTTCTCCCCCACCTCCTCCCCCTTCCCTCTCTGCCACGCAGGCTTCTCCCCTCCTCTCCTCTCCTACCAGCTCTCCTCTTCTCCCCGTTCCTTCATTCCTAGCTCATATTGAGTTCGGCCATACGGCCTCCGGGTAGCGTAATAGCCCATACTTGAATTCTTATTCCAGCACGGCCGCCGTGCGTGATACTTGTATAGTCTCGCGCCACGGGTGTAAGTGTCATGACATGTCAGTGTACACGTGCACAGGCACCTCTCATTTGACCGGTCCTCAAACAAATAATGGTAATTCAAACACTCAAGATGTAGTCTACTTATCCAAAGTATTCTCCCCAATGTTTTCTCCTAGCTTCTATTCGCACATATTTATTTCGTCGAATAACTCCTGCTGTATAACGCCCGCTGGACATCCGCCGTTAAATGCTCATCTGCACACTACAAGGTTAGTGAAGTAACACCCTGCACGTACCGCCTGTTGCACAACACAACACTGCCACTGGTACTCTCCACCATGAATAAGCGCCAACAGGACTTCCGCACCAACCTCTTCTCCACCCGATGGATTTCGACAAAAAACGAATTGTTTTCTTCACCTTTACGCGTACTCTTGGGAACCTGAAGAAAGACAGTTCCGGTCTTACATTCTGACGATTCGAGGCAATTAGCAGCAGGAACATAAGCTGAGCTGACAAGCACAGCAGCAGACAGTTTCAGTCAGTAGCAGATACAGCAACATCGGGATACTTCGTGTGAACTTGCTTCCGCAAAATGGCGGGTTGTCGGCGACGCCATGACCTGACTAGCTATGATTGGAGAGTGGTCCTATCTTGTGTGCTACGGCACTCACAGAATCTTGGCTGGAACTGCTGGGAACAGCTGGGAAGAGCCTGGGAACAGCTGGGAACTGAAATATCAGATTCAATTTTTCGTGATTCGCGGAACAGAAGTTCATCGGGGACGTGGGACAAGCCCTCTAGCAATGATCGTCTGAGAGTCGTGGAAAATTAGTGTCAATCTCGTCGGGTTTCCATTCCTCCGGCTAGCTATCTTTTTTATTTTTTTTTTATTAATTTTATGCCTTTACTCGGCAGAATAATAATAGTTATGTAAACTATGTAGTGATTGCTAGTAGGCCTAGTATGGTTTGAACACCTAAACTACTTGATTTTCCTGAAACATGTCTACATCATTTCACTGGGAACTGGGAATTGGGGATTCCCTCTCTTTTACTGGGAGCTGGATATTCGGGGGTGCTTTTTGCTGGGAAAGTGGGAAATTCGTACCCCCCCCCCCCCGCTTCCCCCTTCCATCTATCTGTGTGCGTGTGTTCTCTCTCGCCACCTCTCGCACATCTCCTCATCCACTGTCTTTTCGGTGATGGAATGGCTTGGTTCCTCTCTATGTGAATGCAACTGCTAATCTCTTTTCACAGACATCAAAACCGTGCCAAATGTACGTACTGCGTGTATATCATACATAACATGTATCTCTCTATATATATAGTCTATATCGATATAAATGTAATCTATCGATCTGTTTTAATCACCCCATTCACGAAAGATTTCTGTCATAAATATTCTGGCGACTGTGAAATATAGAACTACAAGACAGTTTAGTACAGTATAATAGGCAGTACTATGGTTTATTTAAATTTACCTTCAATCCTGCTTGTCACTAAGTTTGTAACACTATGCATACCTCGGCACTCGGCAGACTGTCTTCTATGTTCAGCAGTCAGCTCTCTGCAGCTTGAGTCATGATGAGTTCAAGCCAAGTTTCCCATGCGGTCAGGCTAACTCAGTTCTCCTGGTTGCCAAAAAAGACGCCGACGCCAGCTCACGTAAATGAAATTATGATACATATATGCATGTAGGTCGGCGCACTCGAATCTGGCTGTAGTGACTGTCCCTCACATACAACCGCACTGCACACACACACACACAGCCACGATCCTACACACACACACACTTGTCGCTGCACATCACCACACGACACACACACAACACACACACACACACTTACACACACTATCTCACAGCATACACACACAACCACACACACACACCGCACCACACCACACCTACACACCACAGGTCGCGTAGGTCGCCACAGCCCACAGCCGACACACACACACACGGGGGCACATCCACAACACCCACACACCAACGTGTCACACACGTCACACAGCCCGTCGATACTAGCTCTAGAACTATAGCCCTCCGCTCAGCCGCAGCCTATTCACCTATAGAAATAGAATATTTCTATTTCTATTTCTTTTTCTTTTCTTTTTCTTTTTCTGTTCTATTTCTATTTTTATTATTTTTTTCTATTTCTATTTCTGTGGGTTCAACTAGTAGAACGCATCTAACACAAGGTGGCGCCAATATACCCCACGATCACACAAAAAATAGCGAAGTGTCGCGGCGTAGACTGGTACTCGCTCCCACCTTGATTACTCGACTTGGGTAAGCGTAAGTCGAGTAGTGAGCGAGCTACCAGTCTATGTCGCGCGATGACGCTGACCCGTAGTGATTGCGCGCAGGCAGTCAGGAAGTTTTTACTGCGCATAAGCGGAAAGCAGAGCGGAAAGTAACCACGGAGGAAAGGGGTCCGGAGCAAGTAGAAGTTTAGTTTCGCAATTTAGGTTTATAACGCCACACTAAAGATACAAAATGCCAAGAGGTTAGTGATGAGGCGTACTGAAAATCTTGTTCTTACAATTAAAGTTAAGCTCTGTAGTAGAATTGTATTTGTACTTTGAAAGCACAATTAGTAAATTGTCTTGACGTGATGCGGCCATGATGACGAGGCGCGCCGAGGGTTGACAGTCACACTGTGTCTTCCAATCACAGCCTACGCCGCACCAGTCTTTGATATTTTTAAATATGGGGACCCATTGGACCACCAAATTGCCGATCTTAGGAACTAGGGCATGATTCTGCTATGTTAGAACAATTTCCTACGATAGAGTTTGCCACAAATAATACGAATATAAGTTATAACACACTGTTTAGCGCACTGTGCCACAGGCACTTGGACCGTTTCAATAATAAAATGATGGTTAATAAATACAACTTGTCAGTACTAGACCTACCACTACCAGTACCAGTACCAGTAATACTAATAGTCTTAATGTTTGATTTGACCTAATGACTTCACTTCAACACCGTCCAATACACCGCTGCAACACATAGCGCGCACGCCATTGTGCATGCACAAATACACAATGATATAAAGAAGGTAAGAAAGCGTCCGCACAGAAATTCCAGAACGCTCGAATCTTTTCACAACACTACAGCCGAAATTCTGCTCTCAGAATGCAATGCGCCGCCATTGCTCATGTTCTTATCCCATTTACGAAGCGGCTTCATGGGAAATTTGCGGCAAATTCGAGCAGGATTTCTCATATAATTCTGGGTAAAGTATGTGGTACCAAGTTGCAAGACGTATATTTCGAACAAGTGACGATTCAGCTACACACAGATGCCAATGTCATGGCGGTTGGACGTGTATTTCGGCTGTAGTGTTGTGAAAAGATTCGAGCGTTTTGGAATTTCTGTGCGGACGCTTTCTTACCTTCTCTATATCACTGTGTATTTGTGCATGCACAATGGCGTGCACGCTATGTGTTGCAGCGGTGTATTGGACGGTGTTGAAGTGAAGTTATTAGGTCAAATCAAACATTAAGACTATTACTGGTAGGTACGGCACTGGTACTGGTAGGTCTAGTACTGACAAGTTGTATTTATTAACCATCATTTTATTATTGAAACGGACCAAGTGCCTGTGCACTGTGCTACGTGAGTACGTCCTTCTGTTTCATTTTCGCATCTCCGTAATCAGAATAAGCTCCGCCTTCTTCGTTGATGGACATGAATGGGGCGTCACCGACGTGACCAGTTACTGTACCTACTGTCTCTCGCCAGCCTGTTTACTTTTCGTAAATAATTAAATGCCCGGTCGATGCATTTCGCATAGAAGTGGAAAATTTTCGGCATTTTCACTCGCGGTCGGAAGTGAACGATTGCGTCATTCATTGAACAGGGCTCAATTTTAACGGTCGTCCGGTCGTCCGTGACGACTGGATTTTCTCTCGGGCAACTACAAATTGCTTCCGTGGTTGTCCGGTGTCCAACCTCTATAAAAATTTTATATTCGTAATGCGCGCGTTCATTTAAAGGGCCGGACACACCAGGCGATTGCATCGGCGATGGCATCGGTCCGGACTGGCATTGGGCGATAATATCAAAACGTTTGA